CAGGTGGGCCCCATCTTTTCCCCATCCCAATCCTCCCCAAGTCGCCCCCTCAGACACCACGGTCTGCCCACAAGGGCCAGCTGGGAATCTAGAACCCAGCCCAAGTTCCCTCCCAGCTCCCTCAGCCCCTGACCCTGCCCATCCACCGCCCAAACCTCCTGTCACTGCCACATGCCCACAAGACCACCAAGAGCTTTGGCCATTCTTAAAGCCCTGGCCATAGGGAATTTTTTCTCGGTCCCACTCCTGTCTCTACTGAAAGTCTTACAGTGGCTGCAGGATAACGTGCATATTCCTGCCCAGGTGGGCACCCACTCCCAACCCCACGCTCCACTCCTGAGCCCTGGCCGCAGGTCTCTTGCTGGCCTCCTATCCAAGAGGGGTGAGTTCCCCAGGACCATGGCTGTGCCTCAGTCCTCTCTAGATCCGGAGGCTCACCAGGGCTTGGCAGGTATTCAGTTAGTTCATGCCAAATGAATGAGTGAATGGCCCTGGAAGATCACAGTGGGAAAATGCCTGCTGGGAGAACTAAGAGCAGGAGTGGGGTTCCCTTGCGGGGGGGCAGGACCAACTTCCTACCCTGGACTTTGTTGGGGGTGGAGCACCAGGGAGACCCACAGCTGCCTCTTGAATAAAGCACCATTGCAGGGAAGGTGGTATTATTGCACCCATGGCACAGGGAAGGAAACAGGACTGGAGATACAAAGTGTCTTGTGGAGGTAACAGCGAATTAGGGCCATGAGTGAGGCCAGGGAGCAGCCTGTCTCTGGCCAATGTCCTAGTTCCTCGCTGGGTAAGTCCCCTGCCCCCATCATCTGTGCCCCTCCCCCCATATGCCCCTGCAACTGGGAACCTGCTGGGAGCTGGAGGAGGGATGGGCAGATGGGCCACCTGGCAGGCGCCCTGGCAGCAGGGGTCATCTGTCTTCTCAGGAGATGCCAGGACCTGGGCAGTCTCCTTCCTCTTTGGTTCTGGAACCTGGGGTGGTGGCCCTTAGGCAGACCTACAGAGTCCTGGCTCATAGGTAAAGGCCGCTCCTCTGCCCTCCTTAACAACACTCTGTGCACTCTGAGCCAGACTCTGGGCCAGATGCGAGGTTCAAAGGGCAAGGCTATTCCCCCACCTTCAGGGGCTCCACTCAGACGGGCAGGCACCCTCCCACCGTCACCAGGACAGAGAATGTGGAGAGGCCCGGAAGTGCGCCACCGAGAGCCTGCGCAGGAAACGGAGGGACACCGGGAAGGAAGAGCGCTGGCATCCAGCCACCCATCCCAGAGAAGCTGCCTGACCCGCCGGCGGCAGGGGCGTAAGACAGGAACTGCCAAGCGCTTTGAAGCCTTACCTCGTTTACAACGCTAACAACGCTAATCCTTAGGTATTGTCTTACATCCGAGGACGCTGGGCCTGGGGGAGCGTCCTCGTGTGTAAGTTAAGTGGCTGTCAGCAGCTGGCAGGTGACCCAGCAGAGTCCAATTCGCCTTTCCCTAGTCTCAAAACCTGAGCTCTGCGTTGTAACGAGATGGGCGGATGGAAGACCCAGCAGCAGGCCTACGGGGACGTGCCTCCTTCGTCTGGGCATCTCGGACTCAGTCCTGGCACATGGTAGGCATCAATGTTCATGGTAATGACATCAAGTACAGCGAAATAAATCAGGGGCTCCCAAGATTCAGAGGTCATCTGTCCACTCCCTCCCTTTAGGCTTAAGAACAAACCCAGACCCTGAGAGAGGAAGAGAACCGGCCCTAGATCGTCACACAACGTGGCAGATGGCAGGACGGTTCTGAGCAACCCTTTTCCCCCTCGGGCTGCCCCTCCCTTTAAAGTTCCTAAAGTTCAAAATGTCAGGGTCACCCAGAGTGTTCTGAGAATGTAAGAGTGGTTTTTTGTTTTGTTTTGTTTTGTTTTTTGAGACGGAGTTTCGCTGTTGTTACCCAGACTGGACCAGTGCAATGGCACGATCTCGGCTCACCACAACCTCCGCCTTCTGGGTTCAAGCAATTCTCCTGCCTCAGCCTCCCAAGGAGGCTGGGACTACAGGCGCGCACCACCATGCCCAGCTAATTTTTTTTTTTTTGTATTTTTAGTAGCGACGGGGGTTTCACCTCTTTGACCAGGATGGTCTCGATCTCTTGACCTTGTGATCCACCCGTCTCGGCCTCCCAAAGTGCTGGGATTATAGGCGTGAGCGTAAGAGTGTTTTTAAACGTGCTCTATTTTCGATTTCCCAGATTAACACAACTGGATTCCGAAGAGGGGAATAAACAACCTCACCATAACCGGACTTCTTTTTGAAACAAACCCATCAAGAGTTCTTTTAAAAAAGGAACTAAAATACTGGAAGCACCTTCAGAGAGAAGCAGACGCCTGACTTTCACATCCACCCTCTCATCTGACCCCAGGGAGACCGGCAAGGTGGTTGAGCAGGCTGTAGGCCCGCGATCCCCGCCCCCATTCCGTGCCCAGATGCGCTTCTGAATACGAAACAGCTGGGACTTGGAAAGATAATATTGGGCATACACCTGCTGTAGGTTACATAACCTCCCAGCAGGGCTTGGGGCAGCAGCCGACCATCGAGCTCATTTGCATTTCTGCAGCAAAATATGAATATTCACACAAGCAGGTTAAATAAAGACCATCAATAGCCTCACATCAGTTCAAGCGCAAAACCTTTGGGCTTCCAGGGAGCTTTGGAGACTGGGAATTGCACATGAGGTACTGGGGGCCTCCACCACTACCGGCTGCTGCTGGGGAGAGAAGCTCATCCGAAGTCTTCGGACAGAGGTGGGCGTCGTACCCGACGCTGAACCCAGCGGATCTCCTGGCGTCCCGGCTCCGTGCGGGCGCGGTCCCCAGCTCGCCTCCCCGCCTCCGAACCCCGGGTCGTACCTGCTCCGCGCTCTCCTTCCGTGGCGGGCCGCGCACGTCCTGGATGGCCTCGTAGATGTTCTCCGAGTCGCTGCGCGCCAGGGGCCGCGGGCACACCCAGGAGCCCGCCACGCTGCAGGCCTTGAAGCTGCCGCTGCTTCCTAGGAGGCCGGCGGGAGGCGAGACGGCTGTGCGCGCCAGGTCGTCCAGGGACTGCGCGGGCCGCACGGGCGCTGCAGGCCGCAGGTACAGGCAGGCAGGCAGGCCCGGCGCCAGGCTGCTGCTCTGGGTCGCAGTGCCGCGTTGCGCAGGGCCGCACAGGGAGCTGGCGCGGCCTCGGGGCTCCGCGGGGGCGCCGTCGAGGCCCGTGGCCCCCGGTGCGCTCAAGAACCGGTAGTCATAGGCCAGCGGCGCGGGAGCCTTGGGGGCCGCGGGGCCCGGGTGGGGACCTGGAGGCGGGGTGGCGGCAGGATTGCCCAGAGCGGGCAGCTCGCGTACGTACTGCGCGGGCAGGTAGAAGGGGCGGCCACCGGGCTCGCTCCGCACGTGCCACCAGTGCTCGGTGCTGCGCCGCAGCAGCCGGTAGCGCTCATTGGGCCGGATGGCCACGCGGCGCCCGTCCTTGCCGGTGTACTCGAAGGGGTGCTCCACCAGCACGTACACGTCCCCCTCCACGTCCGCCGCCATCGCGGCCCCGGCGTTTTCCTGTGGACAACAAGGAGGAGGGCCGCGGAGGTCAAGACCACCAAGCCCGGAATAACCCCGAACTCAAGGACAGACTTGGGTTCGAGTCCCGATCCTGCACTCGCTGTTCGCCTTCGGGCCTCAGTTTTCCCCTCTCTAAAATGGGGACTTGCATAAAATCACATCTAAGGCTTCCATTCTTAAACTCAGTGCTGGAATTAGGACAACCCCTTCGATCCGTGGGGTTGATTATAAGATTTGAGCCTCGTTTCAGTCCTGTGGTGGGAGATTGTGGCTAGTCTTGGTCCAAATAGACTGTGGGAGAAGCCCTGGCTTTAAAACGAGGGGTGATTGCCCTCTCTAAGGCCGACACCACGCTTGCTTGTTAATAGTTGACTGAGCCTTAGTTTTCCCGTCAGTCAAGTGGTCGAAGACATCCTGCCGCTTCTCGGCCCTGTCCTGCCTGGAGGCCTCCCAACGGCAGAGAATCCGCAAAGGGTCCCGTGGCACCGCCTCCCGCCAGGAGCCTGCGCTCCGGCCCCGGGTCAGGGTTGGGATGCGGGCTCTGCAGGCGGCCTGGCCAACAGCTCTAACCGGGGGCTGTCCCTGCCCCGCTTAGTCCAAGGACCTTGGTGTAGGGGCCTCCGCTGCCAAGGCGGGGTAACCGGTTCTTTGGGTTTCTCTTTCCTTCCCCAGCGGCTTCACAGCAGACTTGAGCCGGAGCCCGGCCCTCCCAGCCCGGCCCGCACCGCCCCCTGCTCTCCTGCTGCCTCCCGAGAAAGGCCCCGCCTTTGCGGCCTGCCCACCTGCCCTGTGACCTCTACAGTGTCCCCACGAGAGTGGCCCCTGGAGAATGCACTCTGAGACAGTGACTATCCGTGCGGAGTCCCAGAGCAGGGGCCCTCAAAGTTCTCCCGAGTGATCACAAGCCCCGCTCCCGCCCCGGCTCAGATGCGTTAGGGATGAGGGAGGGCCTAAGTAAATGGGCCTGCGCCCCTCCACCAAAGCCACGAGTCGGTGCCTGGGCCCTCCAAACTCCCACACTGACCACACCTCCTCCTTCCCCCTAAAGTGGGCCGGGCCAGGAGACCACTTCTTGCCTAGGCTGAGGCACCGAAGGAGCAGGGTCCAACGGGGACCCCCACAGGGCTCCTTCGCCACTTTCTCAAGCGTTCCTCGACGAGGAAAGGGTGTAAACTGAGTCACTAAGCACACTGGGCCCCGGAGGCGGGGTCATCGAGCTGCCCAGAGGTGGGCCAACAAACCCCAAGGAGGACACTCCCCCGGCACCCTTTCCCCCTGGACCCCGCAGCGCACTCACGTCGGCTGTGGGGGCCTCAGGGAGCCCATGGGCTGGGTGGGCGGAGCCGGTGGTGGCGGCAAGTTAGGCCCCTACCATCGCCGTGGGCGGGGCTTCCAGGGGCGAGGCTGGAGATGCTGCGCGGAACCGGAGCTGGCAAAGGGAGCGAAGAGGGACAGGGACTCTCAGGAGTGCAGTCACCGATACCCAAAGCAGCTGTGTCTGGGCGGGGCGAGGAGGAGCCCGAATGCCTCTGCTGGGGACCTTGGGGGGCATTGGGACAAGGCCCGGAGAAGAAAGCCAGGAGGGCTGCGACTGAAGGGGCGCTGGCCGGTCACGAGCGGAACCCATGGAGAGTGAGACCGCTCCTGCCCCGCCTCCCCCCAAACCCCCCGGGGATTTGCTGTCCCTGCGTCTCTCCGGCGCGCGGCTCTGGGAATGCCGGGCTGGGGCTGGTTGACTCGTCCGGGCGTTCCCGTTCTCGGGGAGGTCATTTGCACCCTGAATCACCTACTGAGAGCCCTTCCAACTGGATTGCAGACCCGCCCGCTCCGGGCCCACCTTCTCTCTCACCCGGGCCTTTCCGGGCGCAGCCCGGCCCGGCCTGGAAAAACTCCGAGCGGGATTCCCAGCGCAGGGACGCCCACCGGAGCGCAGCGTCTTAGGCTAGATAAGAAGGGGACTGGGCCTCGCTCCTTCCCCGACCCTGGGGAAACAGAGAAGGGGAAGGATTGGGGGAGCCTGGAGGAGCACTGGATCCCGAGAACGCACCCGTCGCCAGGTCCCCTGCGTCCACTGCCCAGGCGACGCAAGCTACAGAGGCGACAACGCCTGGGCGGCGCTGAGGGCCTGGGCCTGCTCCCTTCCCGCCCCCAGGTAGAGAGCAGTCCTTCGCCTACCTTCTCCTCCCGGTGGGATGCGGCCCGCGCAGCTCCCGCCCCAGCGCGGAGACAAGCGGAGCAGGCGCGCCGAGCTCCCGGGTGCGGACCCGCCACCTGCCGCACCCTTCCCTCCTCCACCCTGCCCCTTTCCCCACCCACACCCCACCTCCCACCCCAACCCCCGCTCGGCGCCCCACTCCCGACCCTGCCTGCCCGGGCACCTCGGGGCGTCTGCTCGCCAGCGTCGCCTCCACTTGTCCCGGCAGGCGCGCGTGGGATCGCCGACCCGCGCTCCCTCCTAGACCGCGCGGCTCCCGCGCTGCCCGGTTTCCTGTTCAACAATATCAACAGGGAGGCACCGGAGGAGAGCGCCCAGCAGAACTTCCTCCCGGACTGGGGCTGGGCTGAGGTTGCGAGAGACAATCCCCGGTGTCCTGGCTTCCTGTCCCCTCTGGGCCCGGCCGGCGCTTGAGAAGCAAAGACGCCACCTCCTCCCCTGCACTTCCCGGGATCCTGGGCCACACCTGGCTGTCTCCAGGGAGGAGGAGGCCACAAGGCTGAGATAGTGGGACTGGGGAGGGCGGGAGCCACCCCGAAGCTTCCTCTGGCCAGATTGCCCTCCCACCATCCCCCACCCCCTCTTGATCCTCGTGGGGAAGGAGGGCCACACTTCAATCCGTCCTCAGGGTAAGCTCAGAACAGCCTCTTGGAGGCCAGGAATCCAGCCCCAGGGCCCTCTGCCTTGGGGTCTTCTGTTTGGGAATTATCTGCCTCTCTGGACAGGTAGCCTGGCCCCTCTGATCTGACCCTGCACTCACTCCAGATATCAAAAGCCCCAGCCCCAGCAGACCCCCTGCCCTCAGGGGCCCCAAGGATGAAGTTGTGCCTGTGGACCTAGCTGTGTGTGCTGAGAGCTGAGTCAGGCCAGTGTTCTGGGAGGAAGATGGGCTGCACCCCAGGCCATGGCCCCTCTTGAGACCACTTCCTGGGGGTCCAGGGTTGGCTGGGAAGCTGACTCTGGCTATGCTCCTTCTGGAACTCCCTTACTCCTATATCTTTGCCCCTGCTAGGCATTGCCTGCCCGTGAGTCCACACTTCCTCTGAGAATCTCAGTTTGTTTGAGGTGGCATCTTGGGATCCTCCAGGGTAGGCACACGGCAGAACTCAGCATTGGTCTTTGGTGCCCGACATGCTTAGAAAATAAGTTACTGGAGGAATCTTCTCTCCTTCCCTACCTTTTAGGTTCCTCCCCACCTGCACCACAGCCAGGCATCGGCTGGCAGTGGTGACGGTTGTTGCCTGGGGTCAGGCGGGTATGATGCCCCACTCTGCTGCTTGCCGGCTGGTAGACATTGGGAGTTCTGCCTGGTTCTGCCTTATCTCGGCAGCTCAGCTTTCTTATGAAAGGGATAGTAACACTCACTTCACTGGATTATTGGGAAGACTAAATGAGGTCCACTAAGCAGTGCTTACCACCTGCCCCAGCACACACAATATATCAGCTTTTTTTTTTTTTTTTTTTTTTGGAAACAGAGTCACTGTTGCCCAGGCTAGAGTGCAGTGGCACAATCTCAGCTCACTGTGACCTCCGCCTCTGGGTTCAAGTGATTCTCCTGCCTCAGCTTCCTGGGTACCTGCCATCGTGCCCAGCTAATTTTTATATTTTTGGTTTTTTAAAAATTATTTGATTTTTTTGGGGGGAGGTGGCTTTCTGGCAAAACCCAGAAAGCCTGCTAGACAAATTCTAAAAGAGCTATAACACTAATTTTTGTAGAGACCGGGTTTCACCATGTTGGCCAGGCTGGTCTTGAACTCCTGACCTCAGGTGATCCGACCACCTCCACCTCCCAAAATGCTGGGATACAGGCGTAAGCCACTGCGCCCAGCTATATCAGCTATTATGACTGCTCATATTATATGATGAGCTCTTTTTTTTTGAGATGGAGTTTCACTCTTGTTACCCAGGCTGGAGTGCAATGGCGCGATCTTGGCTCACTGCAACCTCCGCCTTCTGGGTTCAGGCAATTCTCCTGTCTCAGCCTCCTGAGTAGCTGGGATTACAGACATGCGCCACCATGCCCAGCTAATTTTTTTTTTTTAATTTTTAGTAGAGACGGGTTTCACAATGTTGACCAGGATGGTCTCTATCTCTTGACCTCGTGATCCACCCGCCTCGGCCTCCCAAAGTGCTGGGATTACAGGCTTGAGCCACTGCGCCCGGCCTATGATGAGCTCTTAGGGGTTGGATTGGAATCTCCAAAACGCCTGTCCTCCTTCATGCAGAAGAGAAGGGGAAATCCCAGCTACTCAGGAGGCTGAGGCAGGAGGATTGCTTGAACCTAGGATGCAGAGGATGAAATGAGCTGAGATCATGCCACTGCACTCTAGCCTAAGCAACAGAGTGAGACTCTGTCTCAAAAAAAAAAAAAAGGAGGTGGGGAAGAAGGGGAAACAATAGAGGCGCTTTGCTGAGGATAGAGAGGAGCTGAGCCACCAGCAGGGCAGCACCAGGTCGCATGCCATGGTCCTCCACTGGGCCTCCTCCCCAAGTTTCTCTTCTTCTCTCTGGGCTTACCATCTATTGTACTGGAGGGAGGTGAGGCCCTTGAGGGAAGCTAGGGTGCCTAGATGGGCAGAGGGTGCCACGCTGTCATCTGAAAGGGGCCTTCAAGGACAGGAAATCACAGACCTGAATGTTGTCTGTTTCTATCCCATTTCACTGCAACCTGATTTCCCTGAGAATTAGTCTGTTTCCTGCTCCTGTTCTTACAATGGACAGTGGTGTGGGCCTCCCCTAGGAGGGGTCCCCTGGGCTTCTCCTGGAACTTTTGAGGAAGATCAGCAGCCAAGTAAGTCATTTTGAGCCCATAAGCCCTGAATCGAGGGCTCTGCTTAAATAACCAGCCCTTCCTGAGCCCTCTCTCTCCTTTATTTCTCCAGTGAGAAATGTCCCCTGTATTCCTGAGGTTTCACATGATCCAGTGTCAAGGGTCTGCACTTTGACATTTAAGTCACAGGAAAAGAAGCCACCAGTGTGGGATCTGCTTGAGTTGTTATACAAGTGTGAGTCCACCTCCCAGAGATCCTGAGATCCTACCCCAGGGAGACTCCAACTGCTGGGCTTGGCAAGGTGGCTTTTTCACTCTCTTCTCCCTGCCCACTCCTGGCATGCAAGCCCTCTTCCTACAAGTGTTTGCCACTGACCTCCCAAACCCTCCCCTGTGCCAGGGACTGACTGACAGGAGGGTGGAGAGCCCTGTCAGATAGTAATGCATGCCTGGTGGTCTTCCCCCAGGCAGTGGCAGTGTTAGAATTCAGAAGCCAGACCAGTGATGAGAAAGATCAGGTCTTTACTGCAAAATCATTCAAAACTCACACGGCAGTAATTCCTTCAATACATTGCAAAGACTTCTCAGGGCCAGAGCCCCACTCACTATCAACAGTGTATTGCATAAAATAACATTTTAAAAATAGTGTGGGCACTACCTTTTGGGGAGGAAGAGTCAGTGCATCTGAAAGCACTGGCCTCTTCTGGGGAACCGGCCCCCCAGGGCCTCATCCCTGCTGCCTCTAAGGGCACCTTCGGGAAGAATCTGCACAGGCCCAAGCCCTCCCCATGTCAGGCTCCTGCCCACTCAGGGATGGGGCAATGAGGGCTCTGATCGGGCTGGGCTTGTGTTGGAGCATTTATGTGGGCCATGGCGGGTGCATAATCCAGCTCCTGGCTTAGGAGGCGTTGGTGTCTGGGCACAGGTGCACGCCATGACCAGGAGAAGTTGTGTACAGCCTCCACCTGCCTGCCACCACCGCCTCTGTTCTGCTGCACAGGCATCTAGCTCCAAGGCTGGGTGGGTGACTCAGCAGCTGATCGCCCCCAGGGATGGGTGAGCGTGGGCTCATCTCTGACAGTGACAGGTGGATCTCCACCTGAGGCCTCAGACTCCAAGCTAAGCACAGGCAAGACAGCCAGACGAGGGTCTTCTCGGGCCTGCTGGGTTCAGGAGATGTCGGGGAAGGTGTCAGATCAGCAAACCCACATTTCTCTGAAACCTGGAGGGCCTGAACATCACTTTGCAAACAATTCCAGGCTCCTACCCCAGCCCGAGACCCCTTCAAAGGCAATTCTGCTCCAGGAAGTTCTGTCTCCAGGGTCCTGGCTGGGCAAGTTCAGTGATGCTTTAGGAATTCATGGCTTTGTGAGGCCGAGGCTGCATCCACAGGGCAGCTCCCCCGCAGGCCCTGCACAGCTTAGGGCAAAGGACCAAGTCACTTCACGGTCTCTGGGGTCCTGCCTATTTGAGTCCCGGCAGGGGTCAGTCAGGCCGAGAGTGTGACCCCGAGAGCCCACCAAGGCGGGCCTGGAGCATCTGCAGCAGCGCCCGTCTGTAGAGGGGTGAGGAGGGCACGGGGATCGGGGGTGGGCAAGGCGGCACCCTCCCTAAACCCAGGAGGGCTCAAAGTGCTGACAGTGCTGGTTTTCAGTCATTTCTCCTTCTCCTAATGGGGCCAAGGCCCCAGGCTAGAGAAGAGCTAGGGGCTCCCACGCTGAGAAAGGGGTGGGCTCAGAAGGCGAGATGCAGTGGGGTGGGGAGTAAAGAGGAGACAGAAGAGAAGCGGAGTTACCAGGATTGGCCCTGCCCTGCCGACAGGAGGTTTGGCACTGGCAGTGAGGGCCAAGGAAAGGCACCAGGTAGGCCCACAGGCCCTGTCCCAGCAGTGGCCTGCCTGCCAGCCACCCTCTGTCTCCAGGCCAGGCCTGAGTGGCTCCTGTGCATCCACTAGGAGTGAGAATGTCTGGATTTCTTGGGTGACTTGTGTAGCGTCAAGAATAAAAAAATACTTTCTATTGAAATATGAATGGGAAAAACCCACCTTAAAAAACTAGACCTTTTAAATCAGAAATGTGGAATTGAAAATGCTTCCAAGTCTCCATTCCACAGTGTGTGAGCGGCCCTAACAGAGGCGCTGGGACACTGGTGAGCCAGGGCCTGGTAAGTAAAAGGCCTGTCTCCCCCGAGACAGGGAGCATCTGGTGGTGTTCTTGCCTCTGCAGCAGAGGGGTGGTGAGAGGGTCAGGGCACATGATGGGGGTTCCTGGGCTTTCTCTGGGAGGCCGGTGCTCTGGTCACGTCTGAGGGTCTTCCTGACAAGGGGACACAGCTGTGATGTGGTGAGTATCCTGAGCTGACTGCAAACCCAGCTGGAATGGCTGAGCCACACTCACCCCCAGCCTTCAGAGCAGGGTCTGCAGATGGGCATCAGGTGAAAACGTTTTGTTCCTGGTACTTGCGCCGGCGGGCACAGCGGGGGCAGCCCTTCTTCACCACAGCCTGGCAGCTCTGGTGGAAGACGGTCTTGCACTCGGCACACCTGGGGAGAGAGCAGCACGCCTGCTGGTGTGAGCTGGGCTGGAGATTACCCTGTGGACACACTGGTCAGCGCTTTTGACCAGAACCCATGATACAGCTGTGA